GAATAAAAATAAATAATAATGCAATCGCTTGGAAAAAAAATAAATAATATATTTAACAAAATATGTAAATGTAACTGGTTAAAGTCAAAAAGAAAATCCACAATATAATGAAAACAAACACATGAAAAACATGAATTTTTAGGATTAGAATTAATAAAAAACAAAAAATGACAAAATAATTCTCAATAAGAATAGTTTCTATAAAAAAATTGGAAAATTACTGATATTTATATAATTGTTGAGTATTTTTTAGTTACCACAACAGTTAAGCGTTGACCACAAATGCACCAGAGCAAAATAAACTGTGAGGTAAACATGGAAACAAAGCAAAAAAAGAAGAATATTGCTCAGCTATAATGTTAAAGCATACGTGCAAAGCACAAATAAATAAATTACTAACAAAATCAAGCAAGTTAATGCAATATTAAAAGCTTATATGGAAAAACTGAATGTATAAAAATTTGGCTATAATTTAAAAACAAATTAATATACATTAACAGCACTAGCATAGCATTAACGCACTTAATAATGATCATGCTCCCTAGTGTACTTCATTTATATTTTGCAAATTCAATAATCACATCAAGCCCTTCCCTTATACTCCAACACATTAACGAACCCAATATTTTAAAAATACGATAGTATATTCCTTCATACGTAATAAACATTTTAATTCATTCTTTATCATTAATATTCTTATGATATCTTACAAATACTACGTATTTTTGTGAACAGCCTCTAAATATCACTTTATTTTCCTACTAATTGTGTCAATTGGACTATTTAAAAAATGGAATCGGATTTTATCCCTTATAACTTTGTGCAAACACAAATGGCATAACATATACGACTAGACAACATAATATACAAACACATGCATAATTAATATCCAATTTTAAGCACAGATCACACATTGAGTAACTACGTAACCAGTTAACAATATTTTTATATAAACCAGAAATTACAAGTTGTCTTCTATTAAAAAAAAAATAAATTCCATTAAATTTTATAGTATCAGTCAAAAATATTTATTTTGGGGGAAATGGTTGGTGTACAGTAAGAGCTTAATTACGTATNTTTCTAATGCAATATTCGAAATAATACCTGAAAGTTAATAGGTGTAGTCATGCATTTGTATTAATAAATTAGTGGTCTGCCTTTTATTCCTATTTAATGTTTTTAATGTCTTTTTTGTATGTTCAGGGAACGGTTGTGAATATGGGGGCCCCGGGATTAGCCCTAATTGGGGGCTTACTTAATTGATCAAACTAATTACCATTTTGCCAAAAAACTGTTTTCTTTAATGATAGGAAAAAAATTAGGACAATTGTTTGTAGTTCTCTTATATAAATTATACGACATTCAAATTATTTTTTTATTTTCTAAATTCACAATATTATCTACTACCTTCAATGAGGACTGGGAGCCCTTTGTAATATTCAGCTAGTTACCCTCGATACTTACCGTGTTGTACTTCGTTTCATTATTTTCTTTTAAGTAAATATGTTATTAATGCTATGGATGTAAATAGAACTCTTAAATTCTGCATTTATTTTGTGGGAAGTTTTTAACTTAAAAAGATTATATAATACCCCTAAAAGATGGATGTGTACCTACTATATCTGACATTGCGTATGTCCCATTGTTATTAATTATAATTCACTGTATTATTTTCATGTATTTCTATCGCTTTTGTCATCGTAAGCGAAAAGAAAAAAAAAAACACTTTTATTTTTCGAAAAATTTATTTTAAAATTTCGATATACTAGAAAACCTACTTTTTTGATTATTAAATGTTTATTTCGTAACAGTAAGTGAATTAACAAAATCTGTAAAATAGTTTTTGAGCTTATTTCAAAAATAAACTCCGTCTTTGTTCACTATCCATTAATTTATATACACATGTAAATTAAACAAGAAAATTGCTAACCACTGAGAATTTAATATTATTATATATAAAAAAAATATGAGTGCTGTCAGCAGAGGGCAAAGTAGTATT